CATGCCGTAATCGCAACCGCTGTGTCGAGCTTTCAGCTGAAAAGGGCAGGGCCCTGACGTATAGCGACTGATGTCCGCTTTCCTGACGCCTGATGGTGGCGCTGACGCTTTCTACACTCGTACCATTTAGGGTTTTTTTTTTTCCGAAAAAGTTGAAGGCTCTCTCACTCCTACCATTCTACATTTGCCAATCTCGGTATATTAGTTCCACGGACGCGAAGCTGCTCGTGCTCATGGGTCACTGCTATGTATCCATGAATTTTCCTGCATCTTGAAACATTGTGGACCTTCACAACTCCCCAAGTCGCCTAGCGCTTGGAGCCCTGAAGCGTCGTGATAACAGAGTGATACATGGCACACCGTTAATTACATCCTCGCCCCTGCTACGCTTTTTGAATCCTCAGCGAACTCCTCTAACCGGTTAGAACGCCTATGAGAAGGCGTGGATGACGAGTAGGTTTTGTTGGATGGTACACGAGAAGAGCGAATAAGGCTCCGGAAGTATACAATGCGACGCAGTGGCTCGCACTGCTTGAGAATAGTGTCGCGGGCGATAGGGTGAAAATCGTGTCGTACCGTGGTCGCAGAGGTCGACCCCCCCCCCCAAATCGAGATCGCTGCACCGACCCCCTCTAACAGAGCAATTAATTCATTTAAAGTAAATCCCTTGCTAAGGCTTCAAATCAAAAAATTCTGTTACAAATAATGACTAAGGCGCGTCATGCTTGTCATTATCCACGTCTTGATTCTGATACGTTTGTGTACATAACTGAATAATCGACTCGAGGAAAAGAGGCTTAACATTGTGTGGCTCAAGGGAGGATTCGTTCAGAAAGACAGAAATCCCGAAGCGGGGTTGCGATTACAATCTTGATTCTTAGCTTGAGTATTAAAAAACTCGAGTTGTATCAAAGGCCGATCACGCAGCTGCGGCGCCGATTGTCACTGGGTCAGATTTTTGCCTAGCAAATTCAAAAAAACGTCCGATCTAAACCCTCGATGAAAAGGTGCCTTCTCCCCATTTCACACATCTGAAGCACTGAGTACAGTAGATAGAGTTGATTTCGCGTTTCACAACAAGCATCGAAATTGTCTCGGAAGCCTTCTTGGCAGAAAGATAGGGTCTCTCTAAATTTCTCGTCGAGTAAATGTCGAAGGAATTGCGGTTTCACCTCGACGTTATATGAGCAAACATTCTAACACGAGACTAATATATCTACGTATATATTGTGAAGTCCTTGCGAATGGATGAGAGTTTTGGCAAAGCGGAGGTTTGCGGCGTGTGCTGACATTGCATCTGTTTAGATTTCTTCGAATCACCGTTTATTGATTGAAGGATAATTGGTCCGAGGATCTATCGAGGTCGTATTCGGCCATCCTGGAAATCCGCTCCCTCGATTCACCATTGCAATGTGACTCGTTGCAGATACCTCGAGATGTGTTAGAACAATACTTTGAGCGCAAACATAAGATAGGAGCAGTGTCCATCAATTTGATATGTTACAGCATGCATCCTTCTCCACTCACCAGTTGCAGAATCGATTGAAAGAGTGTTATTCATATGGACTTGAACGAAGCTGATATGAAAGTATGACATTAGTGTGTTTAGTGCTTTCTGTGCTAAAAAACAACTCATTCCAGCGCTTTTTTCTTCACGGTGAGTCGTTTTTTCCGACAGGGATCCCTAACAACAGCGATCATTCTCACGGGTTTAGGGAGAAGGAGCGAGTGATAGGCGAGGAGGTGCCTTTTCAGCCGGCGTGGCGCACAGGTGCCTCTTCTTTTGGCGGATGCACTTTATTCTTTGTACTGCTTCAAATCGTAGAGGTGAACATGATTCTCATAGGTGGAGCAATTGGAGCGACTGAACCTGCAAAGAAAAATTTAATATTTGTTTTTTTTTTTCGGATTTTTTCATCTTTTTTGGCTGGCGCTAACCCTATTACCTCTATCTGCCCATGATACCACTTCTGTTTACTGACCCCCAAGAGTACGACCCCCCATTGGATGCAGCCCCACAGGATCGCCCCCTGTCGGGAATTTCTCGATCGATATTCACGCCCTGGTCGGAGGAGTAGACGCGTATGCGCAGGAGAGCGTGATTGAATAGGCGAAAATCCTCGAGCGACTTTCACCCTGTTCCGGAGGTTAGGCCTTCCAGTTTGGGTACCCGTTGGGAAGCCTACCGCGCAGCTAGGGACTGGAGATACAGAGAGGTACGGCGCAAGTATTCCCGCTTACCTTAGCGACGATTCAACTAGGTTGTAGCAAAGAAGACATGGCGGATAGAAGGCAGCGTGGAGTCACAATTCCCTCAAAGATACCTCTTCGTATCGGCTCCTCGCTGCACAGTAGGCTTCCTGGCAGGTACCCTTACAATCGCAGAATTATCCCCCAAAATGGTCGTTGACCTTCACTGGAATCCCCTGCCACTGAGAATGCTTCATGAAGCTCAAAGTGAAAGTGGCCGAACCGTAGTTAAAGGAGGATCTCACGGTAAGATCAGATGACGAGTGAGAGGAACTATCCCCAGTGAGAAACGATGTGCGTTTTGCAGAGAAGGTATGCACCCAGCGGCCTAGAATGGCCGTTCCTGCGCTGCTAGCGCCACTCTCCTCCCACTAACTGGCTTACCTCTCGCTGGCGACACTAACCTTTTAACAGAGTGAGAGAAGGAGAGAAAGAGAGCGTCAGCGTTGAAGATGGCAGAACCAATGAGAGTCGCATCGATGCGTACAGTAGGCAAGGACAAGGTTCAATTTCTCGGGTTCTGGGCTGTTTCCCATGATTTTGATTACTGATTGGTTGGTTTTTCATCGTAAACTTCGCCACTGAGATCTGAGATGGACGTGTAGGCGAACGCAGCTGGAGAGGGTCGGACACGAGGATGATAGGAATGTAATGCAGAGCGTTCCCGTCCAACTGAAAGCGCAAAAGCAGCGGTTGCGATTGTATGGACACGTGCTCAAAAGGTCATAGGGTCACCCGATAAGGAAGAACTCCGAAGCGCAAAGTAAGCAACATAGGGAGGGACGGCAGAAAGTACATGCTTCATTGAAGTCCAGGCCACTGCAGAAGATGCTCTGGACAATATACTAGAGCGTCTGATCTAAAATGAATCCAGTGAGGTCTCTGCGAAGGCATCCATTTAACGCTAGGACGACGATAAAGACGTAGTCGTGAATAGGTGGTAAGCTGGCAAGGGCACCGCCTTCTTCTTTTGAATCAGCGCCATGTTAATCATTTTTGTGATAAACACGTTAGCTAGACACAGATTTTTCTTATTTCTGGAAGGCATAACAGTAAATCTCAGCACCAGGCTCAGAAGACAAGTAGGTGTTAGGTAGTTTTTTGAACACCCACTTTTTTGGTCGAAAACTCAACCTTGCTTCTAGAGGAATCATGATCATCTGATCACGAATAACACCGTTTGAAGTGAAATCGTCTGACGCGTGTCACGTGCGATACGGGCACCGTGAACGGTCACAGGCACCAAACTTGTAGGAAACTGCTCGCAAATTCCTCACGCAGCCTGTAGGCAAATGATGTGTCGACAGTTTTCTTAGTAGAGCTGAAAGGAGCTGATCACATGGCTGGCCACTACCGTTGCGTTTCGCGCTTCGAAACTCCGTTCAATGTTGTTAGGCAGATATCAAAAGCAGCTCTGAGCCAACGTCAACCGTTCCTTGGTCACAGTCCAACAAGGGGAAGGTATGGCGATTTCGGGAGGGGATCAGTGAATGTCGAGAGGTCGAAAAGCGGATCGAGCTTGTGGAAGTTGAAGAAGTCGTGGTTGCGTGGGTTTATGACGGGTTTTTGAGAGCCGGGAAATATTTGAAAAAGTAAAGTTGAATTGACTGAAATTGAAGGACTTGTCTTTCATTAGATTATTTTCCTCCTTCCACTCCCTCCCCTCTCTCTCCCTACCGCCAGCTCGACAGCCAGCATCGATGAAAAGTGGGCGGAGTTGGAGTGTGCCGGCTGGTCACAGAATCAATACTTGTAATGCTCGGAGTAGGGGGCGGTCGTATTGAGTCCCCGCCCATACCCCTATCCGTAGGTCTGATGGTGATGGTGGGGGTCGTATCGAAACCTCGTTGTATCTTTAACAACACAACGCTATGGTTGACTCTGCTCTGAGCTAAGCGTCTTGAAACGAAAGCAGCGTTTACAGCTCACTGCAAATGGCAAGGCCGACCTGTTAACTCTCCAATTATTAGATTACCGAGACGGGGTGAGGGTATTCACAAACAGAATACTTTACCCACAAAGCGATCACACCTGTTAAGGCATTCACAGCATTCAGCTGACGGCTTCTTCGACTTGTTCGTCCTTCCTTTGAGCGCTGAGCCTCGATAAGTTACTTTGTGGGATCAACTCAACCACGTAATGTTGCAAAACTACCCGAGAGCAATTAGACGCACTCGCACCATCCTTCGAACCTATTCATCATGAAGTTAGAACTGAAACTAACTGAAAGCGATTTCCAAAGAAAAGATTCATCTATAACAAAGTATACAACAAAGGTCCTCAGAGGAAAGATAGATCGTACCAACTGAAACCACCTCTTCAGCAGAGAATCGAAGATCGTGAAACCCATAACACGCACAGCGGCAACTTAAAGAAAAGCGGTGTGAAAAAGCTGGAATGAAAACAGCAATCTTGCGTTACATAACGCCAAACGGAGCTTCGCTATCATCTGAACTGATGGATAACGAAATATTCAAAAATGGCTGCTAATAGAGGAATCGAAGAAAAAATCGCACGAGAGCAGACCGAAAACCCTAAATAAGACCCCATATTCTTGACCAAGGGATAATTTTAGCTACTTCTGAACAACTTCGAATGAATAGTGATGAAATGTAAGCAATCGAAAAACAAGTACATTTGCAGAAAACTAGTAAAAGCGAACACGGTAACGAGGAACATGAGCAGTAATGCCGAAAGAATGTCTACAGTCCACAAATGTACGACGTCAAAGTGTAAAGAGCGACAATCTATTATTTGCCTGCAAATATAAAGCCTAGCGTAGTGGGGCCAGGGCGACGACTGATTCCAGGCTCATAAGTGAAAGGAGTGGGGCTCTGATTAGTGAAGCGATCCGGACGTGAATAGTTCGATCGACCGTTCGAGCGCCAGTACTCTGAGTGCGGCGACCCTTCTTGTATTCCTGTATTATAATTGAGACCAAAACGATTCGTTCGTTTCTTTTGGAAGTTTCCTTGTTTATTTTGGAAGGAGGCGACACTGCCACCGTTTTGAATCCTATTCGTAGAATAGCTTCTTTGGTCAGTGCGCTCTGTAAAACGGAAAAGTACCAAGCAAATCGATGGTCGAAGGCGACATTCGACTACAAGAACAACTCACCCTTCTCTTGAGTGGCGCCAGCTTCACTATAGCGAGCATATCCACGAAACTTTCGCTTCTGAAAACTGTATGGTCAAAAAACCTATAGCCCATGTCTCACTACTCTACTACGCTGTCACCAAATCCTTATCAGACCAAAGATTAGTCTCCAAGTACTGCCTCACCCGACACAAAGGGTCAACCATCCAATGGGAAAGGCGTGAAGGAGTGGTATTTGTAAGACTAAGAGAGAGAGAGACCCATTGGAGAGCTCCGTTGTGAGACACCATGCTGATAAGAAATTTCCAAAAGGAGCCCCACCTCTCTGACCATAGTATTCGATTTCTTCTTAAACTCTGTTTTCGCATCAGGAATCACCTCACAATCCGGAGACACGGTACCATTTCCTGAGTCAGACATATTTCCAGAGTCGTTATGATCTAAAATGACAATTTCTGAGCTTTCAGAATGAGATGTTAGTTGAATGTCATAGGCAAACATGTAGAATATTTGGCCGAAGCAGCTTAACATGATACTTATGCGAAATCTGTGATCTACGATTTGAACAAAATCAGCTGTATGGTCCGAAGGCGAAGACTGCGATGAGTCCGCACTCTCAAAACGGATACAGCGTTCAAAGCACGGGTGCATGGTTCAAACCCTTACCGCATCGTTGGTATCGGAAATTTTGCAACTGGCTCAGGACGATGGGTGGTTGAAGGCAAGACCTCAATCAGATAAGACGCTGCCCCCTAATTAACTCCACCTTAGCCGGAGAGCTACTGAATCTTTTGATTATTTTCGGTGTAATGTGCCTCCGGAAAGGGGGTCAGTCCGTCGAAAGGCCACTAGGACTGAGCCGAATGAAGAGGGGCGAATTTCGGAGCGAATCAAAATTTTACGCAGCTCGGATATCCTCTCTTCCTCCAAAGCTTAACCCCAAAAGTGGAAGTTTTCGGGAATCTGACGCAATATTACAGGCCGCCCTCGGAGCCAAATTGCGCTCGGTTATCATTAGAAAGCAACATAATACAGTTTGTTTACAAGCTGTGGAGTAGATTGTATAAACTTATCGTTAAGATAGAACCATCTTGGAGGTTCCCTTCAGGACCCCACACAAGCTTCGTAGGCTGAATGCGCAGCGATTACATGAAAGGTGGTGTCAGCCCCAATATAATACAAAAGGAGCGTTCACACTTGCATAATGTAATGAAGTCTGTGAAGCAGTCACGTAACATGATTACTGTTCCCAATCCTTTTGTAGGCTGAGAATACATTCACAACGACAACTTGAGGAAGTAAGCCCATCTGATGAGTGCACTTTAGTGCGCCAATACTTGGACCGCACTTTACCGATCACTAGTGAAGCTGTTGAGTCATTTACGTAAAAATATTCACAAAAAGGCTAGAAATAAGAAAAACTATGCGTAAACTAACCGTCCCTACTTTCCGTTGTGGGCGCAGAAACCGGAGATGAATTTGAAAATTCTTCGCCGACAGTCTCTTCCGAAACAGCGGAATTCAGCACATCTTTGAGAGCTTCAAGAGTTATAGACTCCGGCGCACTAGTTTTGGTACTCGGATTCTCATTCATAGGAGAAGAGCCATTATTTCCTTCAGCAGTGCTATTGAATGAAGATTCTGGAGCCTCGCCTTCACTTGGTGATTCAGGGATTGGAGGTAGCGCAGCACCAACACCAATACTGCTATCGTCACCTCCCAATGGCCAAGATCCTGCGGAGAAAAAGTGCGACTGTTTGACTTTCTCGAGGAGTGCAAGGGCTTCGTGTCCTGCAAAAATATTATTAGACAATCAAACAGACAGACAGGTGCGCTGCGTACTTTCTAGAACAAGGTTGTTTTCTGCGTACAAACAGCTTCGCATGAGTTCCTACCAACGTGAAGACAATCAGATTCAGGGCAGGTTCCTGTTCAGGATAACTAACCCTTCTATTACTCCACGTTCAATGGAACAGTCTCGATTACCCTAAAGGGAAAACGCATACTGCACATTTGCGGCGCTCACAGTTTATTCCCTGAATCGAACACACACTAACTCACATAACACTACGACTAGGATAATACTTCGAATGCTTTTACATCTCAGGTCGGGCTCAATCAATTTTAAGCGCTTATTCCCTTTGGTGACTTTCGACTATTATTTAGCTTCTACCTATGGACCATGTTAAAACCTTAGGTATTAATAAATCACTTGATTCAACTTGGAAAACAGCTGTGTAAAGTATAATAGCATGAAAGCGGAAGCAAAAGGTGTGCGATCCCTCTATGATCAGTGACTTTTCATGCGCAAACAGTACCAATCGGAAGAACATAGGATACAAGCGGATTACCGGAGGCAAAGTGCAAGCGCTCCTCGAACTTTCTTTCAAAAAAAAACAGGCAAAGTTCAATGAGCAAAAAAACAATGCTAACCATCCAAAACACACAAGCGTGTGCTTGCAGCAAGCGCACCTTTACGCGCATACTAATTATACGTACGTATCACGAAAGAAGGTTACTCCGCTTCCGTTGCCGATATAAAGGCAACACTGCTGGATTGAAAGAAACCCCGTAAAGCAAGAAAGGAAAAACAAAATACCTCGTAAATCCGACAGTTTATCTACAACTGCATTACTTCCTGACAAAATAGCAGCAACAATATGGGATGCTTCAGCAGCCCTTGACTCCATTTGTTCCAAAGAAGCGCAGTCAGAATAGGACGGGAAGAAAGCCCATCTCAATCGCAAAAGAGCGTCCACTTCCCTTTGCGTTAAAGTCTATAATTACGAGGACGAAAAATCTACAGAGAACCGCAGTGAAATGAATGACATGTGGCAAGTGATTTACTATCAACTCACTACAGCTCCATCGGTTCCAGAAAGGAATGCTTTCATACAGGAAGGATGAGCCAAGTGAGTGAGGACTTCACCATAAACATATGCATTCGCGATCGTTGTGCTGCGGAAGCCATCCATCTGGAATTTAGACTGTTTACGCAGTAATAAAGAAAACTGTATAAATACTAATTTAGAATATGGCAGACAAAAGACATCTTCGCGTGAAAATCATGATGGAAAACGAGTGACAACAATGAATTTCAATGATGCACCTTAAAACGTTGACGACCGCCCTTGTGCGCGTACTGTTTCAACATTTTTCGTATTCCTTCATCAATAAGCATCAATCCTTTAGCGTTTTCATTATCAGTAGAGAAGCAATAGTTTTTTGGACTCAATAATGTGCATTAACCGTTGTGGAACAGGAAAAAATGCAAAATGAATCAAGGGAAACTAGTCTGCCTCATGCGAATGTGTGGTATGACATCATACCACGCGTTCGTCAACGTGTTAATATGAACGAAATGTAAATGAATGAAATCGAGCATGTTAAAAAAATTAGACAAGAACTACCTTGCTTGTAAGGAGGATATCTGCAGCTTTGATAGACTTCTCAAACAATACGCGATCATGCTGCACAATGCCGAGGAGGTGCTAAAAATTTTCAAAAATGCTGAGTTTAAGCGACGTAAAGAATTGCAACTTAATGAGTGGACACGAAAGTAAGCCTGGCAGCCTAGTATAGTAACACGATGAGAATGATATATTGCATACAAATACATATACAATAAATAGATAGATATAAAAATATAAGCTACGTACAAATAGATTTATATACGGTACAAACACCCTTTGTACGGCAGCAAGACCGCATTGAAGATGGACCAACAGTAATGTCCGACTTCTTTCTTCATAATCATACGACCTTCCTCAGTATGCAAACGATTGAGATCACCTTCGTTTTGCTTCGATACTAAACTCCTCCTTGCTAATAACAACATACAGTGTTGCCCTCTTCTATCCAAACTATGAACAAAAACGACCAACGGCTACCTTGCGTTCAAGCCTCCAAGTATGGCATAAGGTGAAGCGGACTCATCACCGTAGTCCAAATTTACAAAAGTCAATAGCTAACCATTCTCTTCTGGTAACCTTCAGTTGGTTAGCTCTATTCTTGGTATCGTTTCGGGTTCATCAGAGCGCAATGCAACAGCTTGCCGGTGAGTTGTTCCTGCAACCCATGTCAGATCTGCAATATGTCAGCGCACGGTTAGCGTACCAAAAAACCAACCACATCACTCAAACAATCGCTGATTTTTTTGGTCCTCCCAAAAACTGCTACTCGTGAATGCCAGATCTAGCTCCTGGCTACTCTTTACAACAAAGCTGCTACGAATGAATGATAGTACATGTAATTCTGGATAAGGGCATTAAGGGCACTGAATCCTTATACTGTATGGTCATATACCGAATTCCTCCAGCGGTTTGTCTTCTGCTATGCTAACTTTTGACGAATAAAAGCAAAATGAATCATAAGATCGGTCATGATGATAGGTTAGCCCGAAACTGTTGGCTGTGCTATACCAACAGGCAGCCGTGGGGAAGTAATGATCATGGTTGCAAGAAGCTGCTCGCGAACTCTCCATACGTGCAAGTGCTGACAAGCCTGATGAAGAAAGCACCCAAAGCCAGGCATGTAGCCGGAAAAGGCTGAAATGCAAACCCTGCAAGGAACCGAGCCCATCTTCCCTCTGTAGGACCGAACCACTATCGTAAGGCATTCGCATCCATAACCCGTTCCGAGATTTGTTCCGCAGACAATCAATGCAGTCTTGCCCAAGCCTTTCAAGAAACGCATAGAAATGCAGACTCCATTCCGACTAGCAGCATGAACCTATTTGTTTCCTCTGTTGATTCAAAAAATTAAACAAGAATCTAACTTCAGCACCCAACCGATGGCCTACCGTAACCCTGACGTGGCGCTTGTGCCCGCCGCAACCGCATACTTCGTATCAGCCCTTTGGCGCGCGTCTGTTGTGTTTCTTTGGCCGCGCGGTTCCCAGCGTTTTGCCTTTGACGCGCGCTTTTGTTTAAGTCTTCAGCTCGATCACTTCACGTTTTGCTTCTTTTGAGCGCGCGCTTTTGGTTAAGTTTCATGCCGCGCATTCACACACAAGAACGTTAATCCTTGTTTCTTTTCAGGCTATATGCCGTATCCGTTACAATTTCTGAAAAATTTCTAAGATACCTGTCAGGAGGTGAATTAACTCGCCCTCGAGGAAAGTTTGTCGCCTGATCATGCGGTCTTCTTCGATGTCGAACTGACGAAACTGCGCTCTCGAAATGCGCAAAAAGAAGACAGCCGCAAGATAACACAATAGTTGAGGCGTGCTGACCTTCCACTAAGTGGTCGACTGGCGTGCGAAAATCCACGTTCCGGAAATTTACCGGTTTGGTCAATTTATACCTCTGATTTGGAGCAAAACGTGACTAACTTAGGATTTTGCAGAGGTCCCGAAAAAAAGAAAGGCACCGGAAGGAACTAGCGCAGGTGCCTTGGTATGCCACCAAGGGAAGTCATAGTATTTTGCTCTACCCTTAGGGCCCACTTATTTATCTCACTCACATGGTATTTTTGCAGGTATGGGTTTGATGAAGGGCTTTCTTTATTGAGAAGATAAATCGATCCCCAGGTGCGATTGAGAAGACATCTTTGAGGAGTAGGGCATCATTACTATGTCGTTAGGGGCTGCCGCCTTGTTCACTATGTAATATTGCTCAAAGTTTCCTAAACCGTCAAGGTTCCGCTGCCCGTTGGATCATCTTTCATATCTAATCCTTGCTTAATCTGAACACATTCATGTAAAGCATTTATTCACAGCTTTATCTGTCAAACTATGGTGTCGATTTGTCGCTTTTACGTGTAACGTTTTTGTACGTTATGTCACATTGCGTCGAAGTCATGGTATTCGAAATATTTTTTTCGTCATGAACCAAACTGTAAGTGAACACAAAAGGGCGCACAGCATGACCATAACATTATCCTGGCTCTTTTGCCACGACTGCATGGCGCAAAGTTTTATGAGTCTTTGCTGGGATATTTAAAGCCGTATTGTAAGCTACTTTTCACACCTACCCTGCCGTTATCCTGCAGATTGACTATAAAATTCCCCAAGATTAGAATAAAAAGTTTAGTAATGCACTAAAAACAATTCCAATTTGTCCGATGCGTGATAGAAGTGAAATTCGCGACAGAATAGTAACGAATATTTTGAAGAAATCCCAGCCTATAGGAATTGACCATTAGGAAAGGAAAGAACTTAATACAGACGTCAGGCTGAGTACGAAGTATGCGGCTGCGGCGGGCACACATGTCACGTCAGGATTACGGTAGGCCATCGGTTGGGTGCTGAAGTTCGATGCTTGTAAAAATTAATCCCCATAGGAAGTTGACCTGAGCTGTAATTGTAATCATAATCCCCATAGGAAGTTAGCTTAAGCTGTAATTGTAATCAATTCCTCACTTCGCCTACTCAATCTTCAAAACGCCGCTTTCGTTCCTTCCTTCCATTCCTTCCTTCATGAGGGACAAATTTTGCCGACCAGAAATGCATTCAACCCAAGTTTTTGGTTTCCATATTTGTGCGCGTGATTGGTTATGCGGGCTAATTCGTTTGCGATTAACACAAACGCTAGCCTCTACATATTAAGATTTAGCATTGTATGCGTTGAAGTGCGAGAACAAAACAGCATATGATGGTGATGAGGGCGCATGCATAGTTAGTCGTTCGTAACGATCGGACGACCAACTCTACATGCGCCCTCGTCGCTATGCTTGACCAGCCTCTTCCCCAAAAATAGCTTGAAGGCAAATGGATCCAGTGAGGGGGTATTATGGCGACTGAAACTGAGTGTAGAGATGCGAAGTGGAACGACAGTGGAGAAAAAACTGAGAAAAACCGTCGACAAGGCCGTTAACAAAACTCTCTTTCCCACTAGCAGTGAAGGAGGCTGGCTTGGGGAAAGAGGCACGTACAAACAAGTTTTCTGAAGATGTCAGTCGTTCTATCGGTTGATACGGCTATCAACCTAGCTGATTTCACACGTTATGCCAGCCACGCACCGTTTCCGGAGATGGGCGGTCCTGGATTAACCAGGTGGCCCTGGGTTGAAACCGAAGGCCCCGTGACCCCAACGAGGTTTTTCAAGGTGGAAAGTTGCTGCAATGTGTGCAGCTACCCACATAAAACTTCAAGGCAGTGGCGAATTACTCCACTCTATGCTTCCTGGCCCCGACCTTTGCCTTTAGTAAACAATTTTACTACCCACCATGATAACATTAATTCACTGGGAACCATGAAATTACCTCTTGTCAAAACCACGACGGAAAACTATACAACCCAAAGGGTGAATGGATCAAAAAAAATTTTTCGCAAACTTGCGCTAGGGGGTTATTGAGGCTCCTGACACGAATAATACCTTTTTGCGCTGCGCCATTTGGCGCCAAGGGTTTCTCCCGAAATCGCTGTAAACTTTGGATCCGGGTTATCGGCCTCCTGACACGAATATGACCTAGTTTTGGCTCAATTTTCTAGTGCCGCCTCAATAGACACACTCTAGGAGCCTCATGCCATAAGGGGGGGGGCACACTAAGTGCGGCCCTCCACCCCCCCGAGCTCCCTGAATTGTCTCGACACTGCCCCCCACGGCACAACTCTTACTTTCGAATCGTGTGCCCAGTCACGTGTGGGCAGTCTAGGGGTGAGCAGCCACTTGAAAGTCACCCTTACTGAGTAGCGCGTAGAATATCCTTATTCGAGCAACGTAGACGACACATTACCTAGACTAAGTCATTATCTGATATAGCGCCGATAACCCTATTACAAGTTTACAAGCGAATTCTGTGAAAACACCGCTTGCGCCAATTGCGCACCTAAGCGTCTAATTGTCCAACGCCAAAAACTAAGTCATATCGTGATCAGGAGCCTCGATAACCCCTACGAAGTTTCAGCGAAAAAAATTTTGATCCATCTCACCCCTCTGGGCTCAATAGTTTAAAGCTCAATATGCCCAAACGACACTAGACGAATGTGCATTGCCCTCAAAATAATCCTCTACTATCGCAGGATCAAACTCGCCAATTAACATCACTGTTTACGAGTGCGCCTGCCAAGGGATGAAACCTTCCACAACAACCATACACAAGATCACTCACATAAATCGCTGTACAAAAAGATGCGAAAAATTTGATAACTGAAAATACCCCGTGACAAAGCTGCTTCTCAATATCTTCGCGCCACCAACCTTCAAACGCCACGGTTGCGTAGACCTCACAATCTGCGACACCTGTCTTCTCTTTCTTTGACGGACAGAGAGCAAAACAGCATTGGCATTACCCTCGTCTCGTGAACCCAGCTGAAAATGATTTAAAAAAAACTAAAGTTCCTTAAAGAGAAGGTTACCTGAATCTATACCTGCGCCCATCTCGCCTTCTTCCAACGATTTATACACACCAAAAGTCAGTAGTCGTTTGAGAAGTACGGCTTACGCAAATGAGGCAGCCAACCCCGTCAGGATCAACTTTCACATGCCCAAGACCCTGGTTAGCCTGCAAAATAAAGAAGCGATCTTTCAAACTCGAACCATTGGAACCACAGCAATCAACAACGGCGCTTAATTCTACACGAGCAAATTTCTTCAAAAATGTCTCAATAATTGTGGCTATGTCTCCTTAACCACATGGGATGTCCCGCTGAGCAGGATTGACGCAAAGATAAGAGAGAGCGTAAATGACAAATGGTCATTGGGGGCGTTAAATGGATGTAACGAAACGCACTCATAATGCCGCTGTGCAATGCTAGTGTGCGACGGAACCTTACCCTATTCACTGTAGCATATTGGCTTCAAATCTAATAGATCTTTCGCACTACCCATCTAGTGTTAGAGAGATGCCGGTGGTAACCCTAACGCTTATGAGCGACAAAAAGTTATATTCTTTGACCACGAGCCAACAGAAATATGTAATCCACCTTTTTGCATGGCTCGTAATGCAGGGCAGCGCGAACAACCCGGGCAGTTTTGCAAAAATTCTTGGTAACAAGAGGAGAGCAAATCATGTTTTTCCCACTCATACGGAAAGTTTAAAAATATTTATTATCAAGTACACTGTAGGTGTCATAATACAGAAATAAAAATGAGGAAACCACTTTAGTTAGAAAGATCCCGCCACTTATGCTTTTCCACTTCGAATGTGAATGCGCGCGAGACCAGGGTTGTTCTGAAAAAAGGTAAACCACAGTTTTTTGATTTTTTTCAAAATATGTCTTAAAGTATAACGCGCAACAATCGTATTAGAACTTTCTAAATGGTACATGGACACCATATAAAGCAAAACATTGAAGCCAGGGGTCAACGCGAGCGAGCCTAACCACCGAATTGTCAAAGAGTGTACACCCCCCTCTCTCGAGAGTCTCCGTACCGACCCCCCCCCCCACACCCCCCCCCTCCTGCACATCCCGCCCCCCCTTCACACATCCCCCCCCCATTATTACTGTTCACTGCTAGAAAAAGCTAACACTAGGTAAAATAATCAATCTACAAAATCTAAAAAACACCTTGGCGCTGCATTCCAAACACAGTTAAGCAACGCCGCTTTAGTTTCTGAATCCGGTAATTTACTACTACATAACACGCACA